TGCCAGACAGAGAGAGACATAGAGACAGAAAGCGAGAAATCGCCCCCCAGGGGGGATGTTCATGCCGCAATCCCTTCTCCTCCATTCTCCTCTCGGGATCTTGGGCACGCACGCACACACGCCCGGCGTGAGTTTTAAGACACTGGGTCCGGGACGCGAACCGCGGTTGACTACGTGGGAGTCTAGTGACATAGCCATTACGCTAACTGCTGGTTCCCAGGAATGTTTCTTTCTTTAGAATCTTAAAAAATTACTTATAAAGCTCTCAGGCCTATAAACTTATATGACATCAGTCTTATTTGAGTAAATCGATGACTAAATTTTTTTCTCATGATTATTGGTCTATTAATATTTTTCTTTCTTCATTTTATTTTAAAATTTTTCCCCAGAAAGTTACCCATTTTGTTGAGTAACAATTTATACAAAGACTGGTGTGTCTTACAAAATGGTATCTGCATGATGCAGACTCCATGGCCCCTGGGGACTGGTCGGTGTGTGTGTGTGGCCGCCTTCTAAGGCCTTCATCCAGGGTTTCCTGCAGAAGCAATGGAACCACCAGAGCAGACTCTGCAGTATCTGAGGTGGCTTCTCCACCTGGGCCTCCTGAGGGTCACTGTTACTAAGGGTCACTGGTACTAATGGTCAAGGCAGCCACCAGTCCCTTTGGAAATGGGTCTTCTCAAAATTCCTCCCCATCAGACCAGGAAACACGAGGTGGCTGCAAAGGGCACCCCTTGAAATACATGGATCACACTGGCCTCAGGGAGGTAGAAGAGGTGACACAGGAAGCCACGACTGCTCAGGGTCAGCGATTCTGTTTCTTTATGGTCTGAAGTTGTCTCCTTTTGGAATTTTCTGGTGGCTTTGATCCAGTGGATATTTGACAGTTCCTTCTTGGCTGTTAGGGGGCCCTGGATTTGGGAGCTGTTCTCAATGCGGAAGACTGTGGTCCTGCCCTCAGGTGGGGTTGAGGAGACAAGAACATGGATATATCTTTTCCAGGCAGCTCCAATGCCTATCCAGTCACCGGTCCAGCCAGAGTGAGCGGCTTGGAGCGGGGCTCGCTGAGTGTGCAATGTCACTGTGACCACGGGTGGGAGAACCACAGCAAGTGGTGGTGCCGAGGAGCTGATTGGGCCAGCTGCATCATCCTCATCCAAACCACTGGATCTGAGCAGGAGGTGAAGAAGGACCGTGTGTCCATCAGGGATGATCAGGAAAACCGCACGTTCACGGTGACCATGGAGGCGCTCAGAAGAGGTGACGCTGACACTTACTGGTGTGGGATTGAGAGAGCTGGAACTAGCTATGGGGTCCACGTTGAAGTTACTATTTACCCAGGTAAGGACAGGTCCCTCGGGCACCATGTGACCACTGTGCTGAAACTGGAGTTTCTGAAAAAGGGGGAGGGGGGACAGAAAATTATTTCAGGAAATTATAACAAAAACTTTTTCAAACTTGATAAAAACTACTACCTCACAATTTAAAAAATTATAATGAACCTCAAGTACAAGAAACCTGAAGAAACTTATACCAAACATTATAAACAAATTGTTCAAAAGCAGGGATTGAATGAAAATCTTAAGAGGATCTAGACACATGACACATTATGTACAGAGGAGCAAAGATAAGGAAGATGGTAGATTTCTTGTTGGAAACCAACAGAGGTTTTGGACTCCACCTCCTCCCCACACACTTTTCCCCTAGCCATGAAGTCTCCTAATCTCTGCCTGAGGGTTGCCGTGTGTGTGAGTGTGTGTGTGAGTGTGTGTGTGTGTATGTGTGATATCTGAAGAAGGATGCTGCCCTAGCATCTCTGTCTCTCATTGCCGGAGTCAACAAACTGGACAAGTCAGGCTTGAAAAATCCAGCGGCCCCTCCTGGTCACTCATAGCAGAGCTTTGCCCTCCTGGGAGCCATACAAGCTGACGGTCCCACTGCAGTTGGTTGTCGCTGGGGCCTGTACGACCCACTTTGGCACCTTCGAAGGGAAAACAAACTTTTATTATCCATCAGATATGGAGGAGTTCCTGGGCACAGAACCCTAGTGAACCCAGTTCCAGGTTATCCCAGGTTCCTGCCTAACATATTCAAGGGTGAGAGGTGCTAGGGGTGAGAGGGGAGGGGCCCGAATCTGTGCACATTTTACTTGCAGAAAGAGGAGCACATTTCTCCAAGCACCTTCCCCTCATCCCACGTCCTGCCTCTGAGGCTTACTGGGGACTCAGCCCTGCCTTTCTTGGCAACTTCAGCTGATCCTTGGGGAGGGATGTACACAGAGGCCAGGCAGTGCATGAGTCCTGCAGGTCTTCCTAGGACCTCCAGTCCTGTCACCATTGAGCGGGGAGGGGACTTAGGCAAGAATTCCCTCTCCTCCAGGCACACACCTTCATCTGCATGCCTGCCTTGCATGTATTTACTGGTGTGGAGAGAAAAGATTTTACACAAATGAATGAAAACTATGGATCTCCTGCTTTGGGCAAGGGATAATAATAGGGATCAAATTTAACTCCTGTCTTGAACAACGATAAATAAAATAAACAAAATATATAATATTAAGGTCTTCAATGCGTTAGGCATCAGGCAATAAATACCAGCGATCCATGAGAGAAAGCATTGTGTTGTCAAGAAAATCATGATGCATTTTTGCATTAAAAAAATTAAAAAATACTTCATGATTTTCCCAACCACCTAACAGACAAAAAAAGGTGAGCCCGGCATACTGCATGAGAGTTTCCAGATTGAGATCCAGAGATGGGGAACTCAACTGGCTCTTGGCAGAATTCCAGGCCTGGGGAAACAGTAGTTAGAATCCGGGAAGACAAAACTGTTCAGAGTTCACAGGACAAAGGACCAGAGAGGAAAGAGTCAGAAGAGTGGTAGTCCTGGCGGCCTATGGAGGGGCAAGAGATGAAGAACGTGCTCATTAGCTCCCGTGTAAGAGGACTACCCAGGGTCGGTCGGCCAGACACACCCAGAGAGACTAGAGCAGTGCCTAGTTCTCCTGCTGGGCCGGGATTGTGCCTGTGCCCATCAGCCAGACCTGCAAATGCATAACTCATGGAGCTTAGGGCAGGTTGTGCATTAATGTTTGGCCTCAGTAGTGGGAAATAATTAGTTCTACACTAAATGTTGTCTTAATATGGCCTTAAAAGCTTATAAGTAATGGATGGCATGGTGGCTAAGGAGCTGGATGACTGCATGGTTTGAGTCCTGAACCAGGAACTTGAAAATCATTCCAAGCATGTGTGTGTGCATACCCAAAATCCAGATAGGAGTATGAGGGAGAGGAGATTGTGGTGTGGTCATCTCCTTTGACCGTTTATGTCTTATATTCTCTCTCTCTCACTTTCTCTTTCTGTCTCTAGTGAGCACATGCACCCCACAGTAAAAACTAAACAAAAGAAAAAGAAAGAAAGAAAAGAAATCTTACAAGCAAATATTAAAGGAGAAGTTCTTTCCAAGTAATTGAACTCAAGAAGATTTATATAAATACAAAAATGTCCAGCACTAACAAGATAAAAACCACAATGTCTGGCATTCAGTCAAAGATGATGAGATATGATTATGCAAATAAACAGGACTAGTGTACTATTATTGCAATTTGATTATCATATCCCTGATGAATAATAATGCTGAGCATCTTTTCATGTGCTTATGGACCGTTTGTATATTTTTCTTAGATAACTGTCTATTCAAATATTTTGCCTCTTTATTTTAAAAAGAAAGAAAACACTACTCCCAGTGAGTAATCAATCCATTGACTCAATCCCAAACTGACACAGATGTTATACTCAGTAGAAAAGGAAATTTTAAATTATGATAATTACATTCCATACGTTCAACAAATTGAGTGGAGACATAACAGATATGAAAGGGACCAAATTCAAACGTTCAAAGCTGCAAACTAAAATTACATGAGGTAAAAAAAAAAAAAAAATTACATGAGGTGAGAACACATACTTGGTGAGGTCAGTAGCATATTAAATACTATAGATTCAAAAATAAGTGAATTTGAACAGAGCAACAGTATCCAAAATAAAATGCAGAGACAAAAAGAATTTTAAGGAAACCAGCAGTTAGCGTAATGGCTATGTTGCTGGACTCCCACGTAGTCGACCGCGGTTCGTGTCCTGGACCCGGTGGCTTAGAATTCACTCCGGGCGCGTGTGCGTGCGTGCCCAAGATCCCAAGAGGAGAATGGAGGAGAAGGGATTGCGGCGTGACCATCCCCCCTGGGGGGTGATTTCTCGCTTTCTATCTCTCTGTCTCTCTCTGTCTGTCTGGCGAGCACATGCGCCCTATAGTGAAAATCTCTCCAAAAAAAGAAAAAAAAAAGAATTTTAAAAATGAATGGAGTATCAGTGAGTTGTAGTTCAGCTTCAACCAACCTGCTATATGTGAAATTGGACTCCCTGACAAGGAAGAAGGGCAGAAAAATGATTTAAAGAAATTATAAACTTGATAAAAACTCCCTTCACACAGTTAATGTAAATCTAGTACAAGAAACTTGGAGAAACCCATACCAAAATACATTCTAATCAAGTTGCTCAAAACCAGCGATGGAGAGAAAATCTTGAGAGCATCCATAGAGGCCCATGAGATGGTGTAGTGGTTATGTCGCTGAACTCCCACCATTGAAGGGCCTTGGTTTGAGTCCCAATCCTGGTAACTTGAAAATCACGCCAGGCACATGCGTGTGTGCCCAAGATCCCAGGGGGAGGATGGAGTAGATGGGATTGTGGCACAGCCTTCGCCCCTGGGCGGTCATTGCTCACTTCTTTCCCTCTCACGGTCTCTGCGTGTGTGTGTGTGTCTCTCTCTCTCTCTGGCAAGTGCTTTAAGGCAAAAACTTCTAAAAAAAGAAAGAAAGAAAAAGAAAGGAAAACAATGAAAGAAAAAGCATCTGAGGCGCAAAGATAAGGATCATGGCAGATTTCTTGTCGGAAACAAAGCAAAAGAGAAGCTGGTGGGACACCTTTAGAATTAATAGAAAAACAAAAAACAAACTATCAACTCAAGATTAAAAAAAAAATTCCCAGAGGGCATGTGCACTCACCAGAGACAAAAAGAGAGGGTGGGGAGTGGGAAAGTTTCTCCCATTGGGGTGGTTATGCCACAGTCCCTTCTCTGTTTCTCCCTGTTTTGGGGATTACGGACACATCCATATGCACCCAGCATGTTTTCAAGCCACTGGTCCAGAACTTGAACTTACACAGTTGACCATGTTGGATCTAGTCACCTTTAACACCCGGCCACAAGCTGGTCCCAGCTCAAGATTTTATACCCAGTAAAAATTCTTTCAAAAACTAAGGTAAGGAACCAGCAGTTAATGTAATGGCTATGTCGCTGGACTCCCATGTAATCGACCGTGGTTCGAGCCCCAGACCCGGCGGCTTAAACTCACGCCGGGCGCGTGCGGGCCCAAGATCCCAAGAGGAGAATGGAGGAGAAGGGATTGCGGTGTGGCCATCCCCCCTGGGGAGTGATTTCTAGCTTTCTATCTCTCTGTCTCTCTCTGTCTTTCTGGCGAGTGCATGCGCCCTGTAGCAAAAACTTATCAACCCCCACAAAAAAAAAGGAAGAGAGAAAGGAACCAGATAAATTTACAATGAAGCAGGCAATATAACAACAGAAATAATAGAAATACATAGCATCATTAAAGGATACTATGAGTGACTGCACGCCAATTTAAAAAAAAAAAACTAAGGTAAAATATTTTTCAACATAACTAAAGTTGAAAGAATCTATTATCGTCAGATCTATACTCCACACTACAAAAGAAAGAAATGTTAAAGAAGGTCATTCACCAATTATGCTAAGAGAAATAAGGTGGACACAGAAAGACAAATACCACATGATTTCATTGATACATAGAATCTGAAAATGTCAAAGTCATAGAAGTACAGAGTAGAATGGTTATCAGAGCCTGGGAGTAGGATGGGGTAGGGAACAAGGAGAGGCTATTCAAA